AGCGATATGCACACGAAAACTTTAGACATGACCGGTATACGTGAGATTTCTCGGCAATTGGTGCAATTGTTGCGAGAGCCTAGCTTGTAACTCGGGACCACAATAGATTCACTTCAAGGATTGGGAACCCTCTTGTCAAGCAACACTACTGTGAAAAGCTAGAGCAGTTCGCTAACAACTTTATTCCCTCCACCTTTGAATAGGTCCGGAAGAAGGTTGGGAAGGCCTGGAGCTTTGTATCGTTTCAGTCTGTATTGCTCTCCGAATCTCAGCTTCAGTGGAAGGATTAGTGCACACGGGTCATGCACCATATGATAGCAAAGATGTCATGGGTGGATGAATTGGATAATTTAACTGAAGAGCAGTGCTTTGCCCAGTGATCCAGGCGCTTGCGCAGGATAGTGATCCTCGTACCGTCAAACGCGCAGATTGTCTTACTGATGGCATGTGAGTTGCATCTAGTGGATCTGACGAGATAAAACAATCCTCAAGTGTTTAAAACAGCGGAGCAGCTTCCATTTTCGTGGCTCCATTGGAATTTCAGAATTCACGATCGCAGCGAAGACATGTTTTTAATTATTGAGAAATGATTCGTCGGAGTTCAACGCCCTCCACACTGTCGGGAATAGACCGCCGACGGAAAATCAGATCCAACAATGTCGCCGAGCTCCAACTTTTAGCTGTTGAACAAACAACACCACAGGTAGACAGACCCGCAGAAAACATGACCTGTTGTAAACGTAGCCAATGCTGACCAACGTTCAGATAAGGGAAAGTAGTGAGATTGTCACGGAGCATCCGTGGATATTCCACTTTAGCAACTGAGGCTTCTAATTTACCGACGTCTAGACGAGATTTCCTAATCTTTGGTGAGCCACCGAAGCGCATGTACACAGTCGCACGTACCACCGCATGATCAGATTCGATGCAATTTGACCTGGGTGTGGAGTCTCGAACACTGCCACGCCACAGGCGACTTATGGCGATGTGGCCAATCTGCGACCAATGTTGTGATGATGAAGCACGCCAGGTACCATAATGACGTCTTAGGTGGTGAAAGTTCAGGTTGGATAGGCACAGTTGGTGGTCGGAGCAGAGACTGAGAAGCCTTTCTCCATTATCCGAGCGAACGATATCGTATCCATGCGGACCTCCGAGGTGACGTTCGCTTGGCAGTAAACGACCAACACGCGCGTTGAAATCCCCTGTCATAACAAGGATGCCCATTTTCGTGGCCCTTAGAAGCAGATCAAGGTTTTGATAGAATAGTTCTTTGACTGCATGCGGGCTACAATCAGTGGGCGCATAGGCGGAGATAATAAAAAGAGCGCGTTTGTTTTCTCCACGCCTGATAACTTTGTACGAGCCTTGGAGTCGCAAAGCGCAGAGGCGACTGTTAGTGGGAATCCATTCAAGAAGGGCGGTCTAAGCTCTGAAACAAAGGGCATTCCAAACACCAGCTTGCTTAGCTGCAGTGGACTCGGCGTCGCCAGGAAGGCGAAGAAGGAAATGGGTGCATGGGTGAAGACAGTTGGTAGGTGGAGTTGGGAGTGTGAAGTGGGGTTTCAGATAAGTAACAGATATTTATGAAAAGTGATTTCAGAGTGCGTGCGAGACCGGCTTGTTCTCTAACCTATATTAGGTATGCAAATTGAGTGCTCCCAAACTAAATTGTGCTTTCGGTTGAAGAAGCGGAGAGGAGAAAGCATAGGATTGTCTTATCCCAGTTTGGAGCTGTGTGGTTGGTATAGCGACAATTTCATCAGAGAGCGCGATGCTGTTCGTCGACGAGAAGTCAGACGAAAGCGGGGGAGGATGATACAGAGGAATTGTAGGTAAGTAGCTGGCGTGTGATTGAGAAGTAATAGTAGCAGTAGCAGAAGAGTAAATCTATTAGGATAGTGAGCGAGTGTAGTTCCATGATTTCATAGTAGGCAAAATACTACCCAGTTTTTTAAGTCGAAGTAGGGGACAGTCACCCAAAGCGAAAGAAGCATGGAAGAACTCATAACTACAACCTGTAGACGGATATTTGCTTGGTGGGTTAATTACGACGCCAGCGTCTCACAAATGGATAAATAACCCCGAGAGAACTTTTCCGAGACTCTATATCGGAGGATCCCAATTTTGAGCAAGTGTGCTGTCGACAAAATCCCGATGCTGAAGGAGATGACTACCCTTAAATGCAACCGATATTCACTGCGGGGACGCATGCGGACAAAGAACACTTTCCTACGTCTTGCAGTCTTGTGTAGTGACCCACGACGCTCGTTGTAAGAGGCACATCGATATGGTGAAGCAACCAACCAACAATCTTCGTCGCAAAGGGGTCAAAATCATCCACAAGCCTCGCACCCCAGCGGGATCAACGTACACCAAGCCGGATTTAACCGGCATCAAGAACTCCACAGCACACAAAATGGAGATGGTGATATGCGATACCTACAGAATGACCCGTAGCTACCAAGTCAACAAATACGCCGTAGGTGCACATGTGGATGCCACAACCCGATCTGTGTTCTCGGAATTTCCTACGGCATTAAATGTCATGCGCAATCGTCAACAACCGGGGTCATATATCCGAGCGTCCGCCAAGCACTTTCTGGCACTGGGGCTCACCAAAGTTGACATATCCGACTTGTGTGTGCGTGTGTAGAATTAGAGGATCTCTTAAACTGTGCGACACTTAGATGCGGACACAATATCACAAAATATCTCACTAACGAGGTGCACTCACACATCCACGAGCGGTTTCGATCAACTTTTGCGCTTAACATGTTTACTGTTTCAATATTACGCCAGGACATTTGTCTAATCTAGACGATTTTAGGTAATGCCAAGATCTAGGGCCATGCATGAATTTGCCGGAAATACGTTGGTGGATCATGAGATTGTTTAAAGGGAAAGTCGTTGTACTGAATTACGTGGACTGGATGCTGTCAAGATGACAAGGCCTAGACAGGGATTAGAATTCTCAACTAAGGCCTTTCGTTCAAAAACCTGACCACAGGGCAGTGGAGTTATGACACTGAACTACAGATAGTCCGTTTTTTGGAGTAAGGAGTCATCCTCACTCCAATTCACAACCTGGAGGGTCAGGAGACTGAGTTTGTCAGGCCTCTAACGATTGACCAATCTGGTATGAGTGGTTCTGAAGGTGCAAAAGAACCACCAGCATAGCGCAATGGATCACTGGAGCACGCAAACCATCACACCACGTTAAGGTCCAGTTTCATCGCGATGCTCATGGGCCGCGAATCGCATTAGGATAAAGCTTGGTCGATTCGATCACGAGGACCGTGAGTGATGAAGCAGATGAATATTGGGTGCAGTTCACCGGAAAACACTGCAATCCACGTAGAATTTCGAACCTGTCGGTTCGCAACAGTAGAGATTGCATGCATCAAACTGGTGCAAATGGGGTATTATATGAAATCTTCACCCCATTAGACACCGATTCACGACGGGTAACGCTTCGCAAAACGGCTAATGACTGATTGGAAGGTAATTGGAAATACTCGTTAGTTGAATGTATGTAACACTGGGTCTCAGTGTAGACCGCGGTTCACATTAAATTGCACAAAGTAAGAACGTAAATTTTTAAAAATGCCAGTGTTTGAAACACAACCGTGAAATCATACACGAGAGTAGTGAGTGTTGCGGAATAAAGATATGACGTCCGCAAATAAACAATTTATTTTAAAGAAGAATTCAAAGTCCGATCTGGACCTTAAAAGACAGTTCATCCTTTGCCTACGAAGAATTCACATGCATCATAGGTATGGTACATCGGCCGAAGTGACAGTAGAAATTGCGTGGACCACGTAAGCACACCGTTTGATTAGCATCCCACACGCAAAGTCCTACGAAGGACGGCTTACAACGAGATGATAAGTAACTCCTACATAATTACGGCATTCGATTAGTGGCACCTGGCATCTGTTTAAATACGCCAGCTCCAAATAAGCCAGAATCGAAATCAGCATCAGTATAGATAGCGGCACATAACGGAACCAGGCTTTTAGCGTGACGCACGCGGCACGAATGTTATGAGTCTTATTCTTCAGAGCGACTTGCCGCTGTGGAGAATCAAACCCGTGCTCAAGTCATTTGGCAAATTTTGAGATCCGGAGGAATCGCGTTGATCTGACCCCATAACGCATACAGCCTGCGTGACTGACACTGGACTACGATATATCGTAGTCAAGTGTCAGTCATGCAGGTCCGCCGCCGTCACCCGTGCCTTAATGGCATAAGCAGCTGGCACCCGGAGGTCATGGGGCCGAAACACGGCAAGAGACGGAGAAACGGGCACTCCTGACGAGACCCGAAATGTAGACACAGGTGTCTGGTGCTTTTCTAGACGTGGGGAAACCTGTGCGACTGAGACGGGACTGTGACGAACTACACCAAAAATTCCATAACAGATGACCAATGAACGGAAAATGGACGACAGGTGACTGCGAATAACTGCGCAAGCAATCGATTGGAGAGCAAAACAATTTGAGTGTCTGAAACACTATTAGTTTGCGATAAAAATCTACATCATCATTAGTGCTTATCGACACCTTCGCATTCACAAAACAATTTGTTATTACAACACTGAAACAGCTTGTGATAGCGAAGATATCAAAACCGCATCTCATGTTTTGGAACTCACGAATCTACTCAATCACTATGCCAAGACTAATTTTTGATCAAATTGTAATAGTTGCATATGTTCTTGTGCATAAGGTCTTCTTTGTGTGCTTCATGTAACATCTAGAATACACATTTTTATGTTATTTTAAGGTCAGACACAGATTAGATGCAGATACTCCATCGAAATCCGGGGGACTACTTATTCGAAATTGTCAACCGGTCGTACACCCTAGAAATGGTACATAACAGTTTGATGCCAGTTCCGAAAGCATGACCGTGATGTCATATAAAAAACAAGAGCAGAAACTAGCAGTGCACTTTGCACAAATACGTTCAGACACTGTACAAGAGGGGATAGCTTAGGAGTTGAGCATTTTTACATCATTCACCAATTCTTTGATCTGAACGGTGCTCCGTTTTAGTGTGTCCGACATACGTTTCCATTGCGTATGATCGATTTCCACACCGACTGCGTTATCCAGCATGAGACCACGGCAAGTAGTGAAACGGTGTCGTTCTAGTTCCTTGTAGCGTTTATCCAATGTCAACCTCTTCGTTTTGATATTATCAAACCAGTTGCGTAAGCCTTTTTTTAACCGAGCTTGTAAGTGTTCCAACTCGTCGCGCATAGCAACATCGGCCTTTGATGGACCGTCCGCAAGACCTATGGATGAAAACAGCGGGGAAAAGAGAAAGCACACTTGAAATTTTAGATTGAACACACCTCAATGTGGAACAAGCCTCACGTTCGCGCATAACAAAGCGAGCACGCTCTGGGAGAGCGCATATGTCAGAAGGTCAATCCTCTGATGAGACCATATTTCTCATTTCAAAGACGCACCGCAGAAAGATCGAAATTAGGAGGCCGGGAAAAGTCAGGGAAATGATCAGAGAGAAACGAGTTAGAAGGCCGATGTGATCCACAGGATTTAAGTGACAAGCCAGGGGCATAAATGGAGCAGTTCACCTCAGCGTCCAGCCTAACGTTTGCTACATCAGGTACCCTGTTATAAAGTCAAGAAAAGTGCACGAGCGCGATTTCACTCATGTGGCGTAGGCGAGAATATTGACCCTCTGTTGAGTTAAGAATGGAAACCAGTTTAATACATGGCCAAGGTGCTGCTGACTGACACTAGGAATGTGCTATTGTCAGTGTCGCACAGAGGCGGTCGAGATAAGGCATGCGCAAAACGCATGCATACTAAGCAATTTACCACAATACACGGACCGTACGTTACTAACACATTTTGGTTCGCGCCAGTCGAGCTCACCGGGAAAAGATGGAAAGGACTGCTAAGTGAACTATGAGTTGCAAAGACTCCTCGGTCGATGAACAAATGGGTACAAAAGAATCAGTCGATGAGGATCAGCGCTGTCACACACATACAACGGCTACTTGAGAAACTTAATTATGAGTCTAAATTTGCAGCGGCAAGTGTTGTCCATGATGGTCAGTGGTATATGGGAGTGAACAGGCAGTGCACTCTGTCGTACCTTAGGAGCCGAGGTCACCTGCGCATAGCTGAAAGGCTCAAACAACGGCCAAATCGACCGTGGAATAGTGTTGGGGGCGAAAAGGACATTATTTATTTAATTTGGATGCAACCACATTGATCGAGCTGATCGTAGTTTACCCCAGGGTCAATTGCAGTCCAGACTGATAACAAGTGTTGCAATGTACAAACATCACGGTCAGTCCGACAAACCCCCCAAGTCACGCTGGCTTACACCATTAGCCGATGAAATAGTGGATGTACCACGTACATGGACCTATAAAGCGCGGGATCTTATCCAGATAGCAAAGCTCAAAACGCGAGTGGATCACAGGAGATGATGATGAATAAATAGAAGACGAAAAATATGTAAAAAATCAAATCTGCCCATATACCTGTATCCTATCAATCTATCAGTATCAACATCAGTTTAGTAGCAAATAGAATTAATGCTTTGCTGGTCTATAACCATAATGATCTACCGGAGGAATAATGAGAGGAAGAAAAGCAGGACATGGTGTAAAGCATAAATGTTCCGAACAAATATTCACTCAACAATAAACAGTCTCAAATGACTGGCTATCGAGATGTCAACGAGACAGGCTACTTAGTATTTTCACTGCCCCGCAGGGTAGTCAGCCTTAAGACCACAGATAACTCAGCACTAGCCCCATTTAAAACATGCAATCTTCCTAAGAGATGACAGCAAACACGCCACCGGTGACAGATGACAATCATATCGGGTAAAATTTTCGAGTCGAACACAAGGTACATCGCGGATAGGAACGAATGTACTGCAATAATCAACTGTCAAATGTGATTTGGGTGTTCTGGTTCAAAATGACTGGAAACCAACATGTTGGGCTGTTGCGACGGGGGTTTGGACAAATAAACGGCTCCATATTTCGACAAACGCTCAGTGCATATGTTCGTCCCCATGTTGAATACTCATTCCAAGCCTGGCATCCATGGTTGAAACAGGACCTTAATGTACTGGAGCAGCCACAAAATCGGGCATCTAAGAACGTAATTGGAATGCGCAATCTTTCATACCAAGAGAGGCTGCAACGATTTGGAGTATTCAGCGGAACCTATCGTACACCACGAGGCGACTTGATTATGGCATAATTGATTCCGCGAGAACCACATCATGTGTGCCGCCTTTTACTGCAACTCAGCACTAATACAACACTGAGAGGCCACTCATTGAAACTCTGTACAGTATAGCCGCCTGGAGTGTCGCAGAAATTTCTTTTTCGAGTCTGTTTCCGTGGAATGCTCGTCAAGAATCGACCGTCTCTGCACCAACATTAAGAGTATTTAAAAGACGGTTGGATAACGCACTCATCCATTTACACTTTGTCACTTAGCGCTATGTCTCGATCCTACATCTGGAGTTTACAATGGAATTAGTTGATGTTAACTGCGGGTGCTTTGAATATAAGCGGATTGCAGAACTACGGAGGAGCAAACGATAAGTCCTTAGTTCATATTTAAGTACCAGTGTTTTAATATCATTATTATCATTAATGTTATTTCGATATCCCCACCAACTATCTAATGGGACTTGTAAAGCAACGCATCTTAACGTATATAAATTAGTTGTTCATTGTTCACCTGTGTCGTGAGAGAGGGCAAGGGTACACCTCATGGTGGAATCCAAGACAAAATTGAACAAAACGGAATGAGACAACCCGCAAATACTGTCTGCTATCGAAAAGAGATCTGACAAGTCAATGTAGACCATGATGCAGCTTGAAGCGTTCGAGTACAGGGCACGAAAATCTCATCGTTTCATGGGAACAGCTTTCCGAGCAGATATTTCGAGTGATGCGACTACCATTCGTATATATTGGTAGTACGATTAATTCCCCCATATGGTTAGGACCGTTTCTTATTCCCATGCAAGTTCGAACAAGTGGGTAAGAGTTTCCTCGATGACCTCACCACCATCCATAAATGGTGGGGGAACAAGAGTCCGGACCACCATAGCGAGATCGACTAAGGGGAGTATAGAAAGAAGGATAGCACTGGTGGTTGAGAGACGTGTAGAAGGAATAGGTGGAAAACGAAGGGAAACATAGCAGTTGCATAAGTTCGCTGCTCCGCTCTGTCGTATGAAGCATGTACAGCGACACTACTGAAGCTGCTCGATGCCCCCGGCAGAACACGGATGAAGTTTGACGAGGTAGTCATGGTTGTACACGGGATTAGACAATAGCAATAACACTATCAAGGATAATAATAATAATAATAATTTGAACAATGCGGTAAGAAGACGAAAGGTGCCAAATGCGTGCATTTTGTATTGTCTCTTCAGCACCATTAGCAATTCACAGCGCATATACCAACTCGTGTGTGACTGCGGATCCAGCTACATAGGCAGAACTGATCGGTCTTTGACTTCCCGAATGAAGGAACAGGTACCAAGGTGGGTTCAACGTGAAATTGACCAGTATCTCTGCCCACCTGAGTCCTCGTGCTGGCGCAGGTCGCCAGTTTCCTCAATAGATAGACACCTACTGGTCACGCATCACCGGATACAGCTGGGAGCAGCATTCAAATTAAGTTAAGGCACTCTAATCCCCGCTTCCTTCGTTTCACCGAGGCTGTGATAATAAGCCGGATGAAGCCAGCTAAAAACAATTATTTGTGAGCCTAAGGCTGCCATGGATATAGGAGTAGGAGTTCTGTCATTCATTTTGCACCTCAAGCTTGTTTGGTAACACCCAGTTAGTCACATAGTTACAAATGGGTTATTGTTAATGGTACTGAAGAGACAATCCGAAATGCATGCAACTATCAACTTTCATCTTCTTACTGCACTGTTCAAATTCCTAAATGGAACTAACTGCTTTAAATAATGTTAATAATAATATTTCAGCTTAGATGCTCCACGATATACGCTTGCAGAGACAAGATGCAATCGAAACAGCAGAACGACTAGGGTGGTTAACCAGACTGGCTCAAATCCCAACTGCAAAGTAGCAGGGAGATGGCAACTACCAGGTTTTACAAAAATAGACACCACCACTTTTTATATTCCAACCTTGAGGGACCAAGAGTCTGAATTTATCTGACCTCTAATCATTGAACAATCTGGTTGGAATAGCTCTCGAGGGGCTGAGAACATCAACCAGAGTAAATCAACTGGTCGAAGAGGCACACAAACAGCCTCAACCCGTTATGATTTGGCCTGGTCGCGGAGGTTTCGAAGTACGATCAGCCTCATGGTTGGTTCCTGGAAAGACGATGAACAATCACTAATGGGGACAAGAATGATATGGAGTAACCGATTCTATTGGTTAAACCGAATGCATAGTAGCTAGCCGGGCTTTGAGATAAGGCGATTAATGAAGACGATTCCCACAAGTAACAAAGGATAAGCAATCCCTGTGAGTGATCATTAATTCCAAAAAAAATTATGTTAGTGACTCACTGTCACCACAAATGCTTTTATATCCAAATGGAAAAATGGAAATGGAAAATGGGAAAAGTGACTGCATCCTTGCAGAGTTCGACACTGTTATTTGAATTGGTAAAATGCACATAAAGTTATATCCCCCACCCGTTGGAGTACAAAGCGCATGGCCATGCGAATGAAGCGGTCGAGCAAAAAGATTCCAATCTTGGAGTGCCCACTGTATTTTGATTGGGACGCTATCATGAAACCTCATTTAGAAGTGATCTTCCGCCATGTACATCAATGAACCACATCCGAGGCAACGTAGGCAGTGATGCTCGCTTTAAACACTGTACTACTCCACTCGGACCCTTCAGGTAAAGGTAACCTCGATCTTGAAGCCCATTGAACTAGTGACCATGGGTCTGCTAGAAAACGACTACTGTCCAGATTCAGTTCGCAAACAAGAAGGAAGTCGGTTGTGGGGTGTACAGCATTAGAGAGATCTGAGCGAATTCAGGTGACTATCCACTGTCCCGCTATGAATCGGCTCGGGCACTGTATGCGAACGTTCCATTTCCACAATATGAGAGGTGGCGAGCCGACTGCACTTTACGGTTGATTCGGCTGGTCTAGTAGTTTGTGTTGGCAAACCGTGATTGCGCACGATCATCGCTGCGTAAATGACATTACGGACCAATACTCTAAAGTATGTTCGGAATGCGTTTAGTTAAGTTTGATCGTTCTAACGATGGCATGTTAACTGTGTTTTCTCACCGTCCTAATACTCCCATGTGATTGTACTGTTTTAAGCATACCACATACAGATGAGCGCGGGTGTAAACAAGAGTGACAGTGTAGGCTAACTTCCAAAAAATACAATGCCGCGTTTATATTCCGTCTCTCTGACTCGTCCACTAAGCACTAGTTAAGCCTGACTTCATAAGGACCTGCTAATACAAATATAGTGAGGCGGATATAAGTTCCAGTCCAGAATTTGTTATCCGATGCACTGAGTAAGAGAAAGTACTAAGTAAACAAAAAAAACAGCTTGGGTGTTGAGTAAAGGTAGCGGGTAAGTGTGTAGCGGTTGCTTACTGGCAAGACGACAAGTCAACGCAGCTACCCGTTTGTCTAACATCACCTGCCGCTGTAAGACTACCGCATGTCGCTCTGTGAGCTCCTCTGCCTTTTGCTGGAGATGCTGACGAAGGGAAGCCAACGTACAGGCATCCTTGTATTGTGCCGGTAACAGATTTGACAGCCTCTGTGTATACTGTTCGACGAACTTCCGCGCCAGCGTGAGGCGGTCCAGGGAGGCCGAACGAAGTAGCTTGATCGTCTGCAGAATGAGGCATGGAGATTTATTCTCGATAGTTATGATATGAACGAAAACAACAACAACAACAGAGATGCGATGCAAAACTAAGATGAGATACGGTAGCTGTCTTACAAAACAATGCAGGGTATTTGGATGGGTCAAGAACTATACTTAAATTGCGCCGGATCAAGTGAACCGCTCTGCATCGTTATTTGACACAACAGACTCCGACGGCTAGATTATCTGTTGTGCATGCCAGCACATGGATTCCCACGACGTGCGTTGTTTGCGTGATCGTGGTCTGGATGGAAGAACGGGAGGGGATGACATCAACTGATGAGGTGGTCAAAAGGAATAAAGTCCCTCACTTCGAAGTTGGTTTCGGTTCTCGACTTTCTGGTTCGGATGAGAAAGATGATGAACACGTTGGGGTTGGATGTACTTGTTGACACGGACGGGAATCGAGCACGATGGTGTTGGTGTTTCGTTATCCTGCCCCCCGCGTGATATCAATAAACGTCATAAAACAAAACATAATGCTAATTTGCACTTTTACATGTGCTGTTTTCCCTTTCTTTTTCACATGGACAAAATTAAACTGTATTGCGGCACAACAGCTGAGGTGTTCCTCTTCTCTAGTTAGTGGGTAGAAAGATGAAAACGTGATGTGTACGTTGTGTTTTTACTGCGAGGCAAGAAACACTTAGATGGAAATCTTAAAGTGGGTGGAATATGTAAAAGATCTGAGATGGGAGCGGTAAAGTGTCGGTAGCGACCGGTTTATGGTATCAGTAGTAGTTCATAGTTATGTCGAAGAATGTCTCGTTGAACATTATTCGTCACGATTGATTGCATCCTTAACGCAATGGTTTACATACGTAGTACGGAAGCTTGCATCCGTAGGGCAACAATTGTAATCCGACAGCCACGAGAATTTCCTCCCTGACGCCTTCAGTGAGTCAACTCTCCGCTCGCCCCAAAACGGACATTTCGTTTGTTCACTTAAACCATCTTCGTGAAACTGTTTCGACTCCATTCACAACGCACGCGATCAAGCCAGAGGCGCGATCCAGTGTTTCGGACACGTTCGCTGCTCCGTGTGAGTTCGTTCAGAACTGGGCTCACTTCGCCTAACATTTGGGATTTAGAGCCAGTTCGTGAGCAAGCCCCTGCTTCCACCCCGGATGGCTTGCGTGAGCAAACGAGATGTCCGTTTTAGGCCATCGGACAGCTGACTCATCGAGAGCATGTTGGATTCAATTTTGGTAACTATCGGATTGTAGTTTTTGTCCTAGATGTAAGCGGCTGCACTACGGATGGAAGTCATTGCGTTAATGATGCAATGAATTGAGAAATGGTATAGACGTTCATCCACATGTCCTCAACACGATTCTAAAAATAGTATATAACGCGTAGGTGCGCGTGATACATCAACATCTGTGTATCAAACAACGAGAGGTCCATAGAGAATCGCCGAAACAGAAAGTTGAATCAAGTCTATATTATAGCTATTCGTAACATATCCCAAGCTAGAATATTCCGAAAATGCTCTTGGACTGATCTAACGGACAAAAAGAGCTCGCTTAACATAGAAGTAGCGCGTGCAGTTGTTGATTTTCGGTAAATTTATGTAGGCTTATCCGTGAAACTACTTTGCATTGCAAGAGTAGGAGCCGAAAACGCCAACTTAAGCCCCTCATCGCGCTGCAGGCGCTCAAAAAATCAACTGACCAACCTTGCAGTTGGTTAAAAGATTGCAAAGAAAGCTAATGGTGGCTTCGTGTAAATCGTACAGAGATGGACTCATAAGTTTTCGTTAACATCAGATCCACGTAATTGACGCTAAACTCTTTCTGTTTCAAATGTCAAACTGATGATGCTGAAAAAAAGTTAATGGCAGCGAGCAATGAATGAATTTGGAGTAGCTTACGCCGGCACGAGGAGACGCAGTAGCTATTCGGGTGATAAGCAAAGATTCCGTCATTTGCAACAAGTCAAAGTTGAATTTAAATTGGTTGCTGTCAGCCCGAAAACACTGCACAACCACGACGCGTTTCGATATCATTTTATTTCATCAGTTGAAGATAGCAGTCCTCGAACCCGCAAGCATTGGAATAGTAGCCGAAACCACTAACCCTTTGGCTACCTGGTCACGACGGGAAACACTTCGCTTAACGGTGAATGACTGATTAGAGGGTCAAGTTTGAACTACACGATGTGCGATTGGACTGCGACGCGCAACCTCAATGAAGACCGCGGTTCACATTGAACCTTGGTCACTGCGATCATTGGGACAATAACCGAAGCAGATAAAAATTGGATGTTGCGCGCCCGAAAACAATGCACAACCACGATGAGTTTCGATGTCATTTCATCTCATCAGGTGGAGATATCAAGCCTCTAACTCGTGACTTGGAATGGTAGCCGAAACCTACTCACTTGACAAGCGGGTCGCGACAGGCAACGCTTGGCAGTGACCAAGGTTCAGTTCAACATGAATCGCGATACACATTGAGAACGCGCGTCACAATCCAATCACACAACGTGTAATCCAAAATGGCCCTCCAATCATTGAATATAAATTCTTTTGCGCAAAAGCCACTACGTTCGAAGTGTCAGATGGACTAAAAGAAACAACGAGGCTGATGCCGATAAAAAGTAATAGAGTTTTGACAGTATCTGCCGGTCCGAAAACCATCATACGTATAATGGGAATTCTGGAGACCTGTTGCTTTGAAAGCAGCCCATCGAAGTGGTGACAGCTGATCAGAGTTGGAGTCGACGGTGAAACTGATAAGTTCCCAAATGTGAGTAAGCAACTGGTTGTCATGGATGCGCGGGAATAGCTGATTTGAGAAGGGTGGTAAATCCAAAAACCTGGAAAGCCTGAGTTTGCATTAAGGTAAAATACTTGTGATATCCTACGGCGGAAATTACAAGTGTACAAACTTCCAAAGATGAATTACACCTTTACAAAGAAAAATGGTATTTTCATGGAATGTAAAAAGCGGAAGTACAAATACGGCATGTCAGAAAGCTGAGTCAAACGGCCCGATTACAAGACTGGACGGGTATGGGGATTAGTGACAAGTGGAGACGAATTCTACTTTCTATCGAAGTACTGGGAACTTAAAAAGGTGGGCGGTCGTGTCGACTAAGAGCGGTGACCAGAAACAGGGAATAGTTGCACTACGTGGAATACGATACTGCAATGCATTGGATACGAACTCGATGGCGTCCCTCATTCCATGCAAAATATGTGGCCATATGTAGGCGCCTTAAAAGTAGACAAGCAAAGTGTATGCCCTGTCAACAAGGAAGATAGATCGCGGTAGACAACAGAGAAACATGTTGAGCGAATTGCACAACATCATGGCATAGTAGTTAAAACGGGATAAGTCATGCCAGCATTCGTACGAAGAAAATGCAGCATAAAAAGGACAACCGAAGATCAGATACGCTGAAGTGATAAAAGATAAGCTATGCACATGAAAGAGTAAGGTGATGGTATCAATTCTATGACCAGCTGTCGATAAACTAGTACAAACGAATGGAAATCGAGAATTAGCACAAAGGTTGACAAACCTGGAGGAAAAATTGCACACCCTGCATTTGAGCACGACTGGGTTGTAGAGACAAATCGGTTATGAGAGGCAAGTGCAATTCCTCTTGACGAAGTAAACGCCTAACTTGAATGGCAAATCTTGAGCAAGGCAAGACCGTTGACTTTTCGTGTCTGCAACAAGTGAAAACAGGAAGCGCAAGTGGAAAGGTGCAGCCATTCTACTATTTTATCGGCATTGTGAAGATAGTTTCAAAAGCCTGAAGTCACAGTTGATAGATGTAAGAAATAAACAGCCGAAAATTTGCGTGGCCTACCCCTTTGTTATTATGAGAGATCTGATAGAGCGAAGTGCGGGCGAAGACCGAATCGCACGAGTTAAACTGTTACGGCGGGAGAAGCAGGTTTACAACCAAATTATACGGCGCAAGTACTAAGGAGACAAAGGACGAGCAATTCACGAGGAAAGCACGTACTCAAGAATGTGCGTCTAGGATCTCTAAATCTGTACTACGATTGACCACAAAGAAATGTGACTAGCTGCCCGGCGTTGTACGAACATGTTTCGCACCTGGTGCCTAAGCGCAACGGGTCCCGTCAAGACAGGGTGAGTCCCATTTCGCCCCACTTCATTATAGCTGTGAATTACAATTCACGAAGCCGAATGATAGTACTGACAACTGATGAGTAGTCCACTATGGTTTAACATTTCAACACGCCGTGCATTTTCTTCATCCTACGATAATGCTCACATTGACAGAGTTCGATTGTAACTGATAATTATCCCAAAACGAAGTAAAGGACGTTTGCGTTCACTTGGATGTTTACAGTTTCCTTAAGATAACATCTCCGCCTTTTAACTATAAGTCGAGTCCAAGCGTTTACAGTCCTCTGTATTATTGCGCTGCGTTTACAGAGCCTCCATTCCAACTTCACTGATTTTACATCCGTTTGCGAGTCTATTCACCTATTTTTAAGTCAAGTCTGTACCTTTGTTTACAAATGCTTATAGAACCATGGTTTATTCATTATAAATTATTCCGCCTACCGCCCTTGTATTTTACCGCCCAGACCGTGCGTACGTTTGGTGCTTAGGCTTGTCAATCGGCAGTACCGGTCGCAGCAACAACAGCCATTCAGTTTTTTGTTGACATCATTGCGGAGTTTAATGATTTAGGTTGTAGAGTAGGGCCAATTGAGTTCAGTTCAGTTGGTCATGCAGAATTCAAACACACAAACACACACATGGGAAGGACTCAGTTGCAGTGACTCAAGTTGCCATGCCAATGATCGTTCGAGGAAATAGAGAAGATAGAAACGAGTAGAAACGAGTAATGATAAATGATAAATAAGGAAGCATAATTGTCAGGTGTTGGAGCACCTGCCGTGTGTCTTGGTATGAGACACGTAAGCACAATTGTTGCCTCGGTCGTGTTTGAAGTAAACCTCTGCAATTCCGAGCACCGACCGAAGTGAGGGTTTCGGTGTTGGTCTCTCTCATCGCTGCACTCCAAGACATGTTTCGTCCTTGTTTGGACGCATCAGGTAGAGATAGCCTGAGTTTGTATTAGAACTCGGTATGGTGGTTGGCGGTTATCGGCATGATCACTGGCTGGCTTGCCGAACGATCGCTACTTGGTGCCAGCTGGGTGGTACACTGGCATATGGTTCGACGGCAGTGCTCCGGGATGTGGTAGGTGTTGCGTGCCTGGGCCTCCCAGCCGAGACAAGAGAAAGAAAACACACCGGCTCAGCACACTAACGTTTGATGCATCATTCTGAGGTTATGTACACTCGATCGAGCGCTTGAGCGATCGCACTGAGGCAGACGATTCCCTTCGCCCAGGTTTCAGCCACCAGCACATCCTCTCCTTTTTACTGTTTCATTGTTTTGATGTTGCAGGTTCCGTACTGCCTTCCACTGCGGCAGAGCCTTCGAACCTGGGCTGCGATCGTAGTTCGTCTATTCTGCTGATGCGGCTTCTCGTCCGAGTGTGAAGCCTGTTCACTCCTTCGCCTTTTCAGCCGCATTGGATAGTTTGCCTTTCTTTTCCGACCCTCAGCTGCTTTTCTCTTTCGACTCTATTCAACTCTAAGTATCTGTTTAAACCATATTTCATCTCCATGAGCTAGAGTATGAGGCTGTTTGGTTCGTGGTTTTGAAGCGTCTTTCGCCGCCGTGAAGGTTTTCGGAGAGGGGCTTGCAGACGATTAGTGGAAATTTTGTCGAGCTGCAAATGTACGGTGGTTCCAGTATCAGCTTGCACTTGAACTAGTTGCTGTTGAGTCGACAGATTTGCGTTAGCGCATCCCTCTTCGTCGTGATCCCGCTTGTTATTTAATGAAATCTCTTGTGCTTCCTGCGGATTTACAATATCATGTGACCTAACATTGGTCGATCGACAGCAACGAGCGAAATGGTTTAACTGGCCTTCACAATGATCACCAAAGCTTTCGAGCGGTTCTGAAAGATCCGCTTCTGTCGTGATCGCAGAAATTCCAGGCGTCTAGTATCCACAAAGCATCATGTCCGATGGAGTACCTGAACAAGGCTGACTAATATGGCATAGGATATTCATCCAACTCGATCAGCGTCGAAGTTCATCCACTTCGTTCTCCACAGGAGCCAGTTTTCGGGCATCGCTACGAACGGATGCTAGTCAAAACAAAGCTACTGATTGCTCATCGGGTTCTTCTTTTCCTCTGTCACCAGGTTGCGTAGTTGGGTCTCCTGGCCACGTCAAGAGAATGAAAACATACCGACTCAGCACATTAGCGTTCTATACACACTTCTGAGGTTCTGTCCAATTAGCTGTGTTTTTAAAACTTCACCCACCCAGCCGACCGAGCGCCTGATCGATCGCACTGAGGCAGACAATTCCCTTCGCCCCAGGATTCAGCCACCATCACAATAGATTTTTGTCTGATAAGAGTTCTTCCAATAAAAAGCTACAATGCGGCGTGGCAGATGTGACTCGATACTAAGTGAAGTCATTGCCCTTACTTCACTCTGGTGGAGCATTGGATTCCAGCAATCCGATGCCGAAACTGTGAGAACCCGCTTCAAAGTAGATTATTGTCTCTAACTGACCTCCAAGCTTCAGAAAGCATGAGACAACTTGGATGTCTATTGTTTTCATAAAAAGAGCTTCCCGCTTAAAAAATTGCAGGTTAACAAAGAGAACTAGGTGTACAGGTCTATACCCAGACATGTATCCGGGTCTACGTACTTTGTATTCTGAATAGCCCGACAGTAACTCACCAATCGTATCACCTTAAGAAACCAGGTTTCAGTAATTGTAGTCACATCAAAAAACTAATAGCTTACCGGCAGGTCATCCCATTTATCTTATGTTACAAGTGTTGGTGTACCACAATCTCAGTCGCTCAACCTTCCCTTTTCCTATTGCACACAAATGATAGATCATCTCGGGCGAAGAACCCGTGGGGACAATCCGTATTTGAGGAAATATTTAAGTGACAGATTATGAAAATAACCGGTGTTTCAGAAGAATTGACTGCTTCCTGTAGACACTCACAGGAAAGTTCGGTATTTGGCTCTAGTCCTACGTGCTTTTAAAGTAAGATCCACAACCAGCGTTTAAATTGTTGCTTGAGTATACTCAATTACCTTTCGCATTCTACCGCCAGTTCGTTTACCCTTTTGCACCTTCATAAGGCCCTATATTGTGTTGTCAAACGCATCATTGCGATCAGCTGCAGAGGTGCAGTCCACCACCGCAACTAGCAAAGCCACCTGGCAGTCAAGTGCTCTAAATGATTGTGATCCCTGAATTCCATATATATATATATATATATATATATATATATATATATATATATATATATATATGAAATTCAGGGATCACAATCATTTAGAGCACTTGACTGCAACGTGATGCCGACTGATCAGCAGCTAGACGGTGAACTGCGTATCCGCGTGTCGAAGGCAGCGGCGGCATTCTGGAAGCTAGAGTACCGAGTGTGGAACAACCATCAGCTTACCATTAGCACGAAGCTGATGGTGTACAAATCCATGGTGCTGTCCGTTCTTCTATACGGCAGCGAAACGTGGACGATGTACCGTCGGGATGTGCGATATCTCGAGCGGTTCCATCGACAATGTTTGCGACGGATTCTGAGCATCGGATGGGGTAAGAGTTGCAGACACGGAAGTGTTGCGCCGAAGTGGGATGTATGCAGTGGACGGCATACTTTTACTGCGACACCTGAGATGGCTCGGTCATGTGAGCCGTATGGATTCAACGCGGATACCGAAACAACTCTTATACGGTCAGCTGAGTAATGGGAAGCAGCATGTAGGGAAACCAAAGCTACGTTACCAGGACATGATCAAAGTGAGTCCGTCACGTTCCAATCTGGATTGTAGGTCATGAGAATCGAAGGCGATTGATTGGCGTGCATGGCGCGACCAGATCAGGAAGGCAGTTGCCGAAGTGCGGGAGAAAGACCTCATACATGCACAGAAGAAGAGGCAAGTGCGGAAGCGACAAGCGCCGATGGGTTGTACTCCATCGACATCGAGCGCATGGTGCTGTGGCCCACGCGGTCGCGAGTGCCTGAGTCAGGCAGGCCTAGTGAGCCATGAGCGGCGCAACACGGGGCCAACACCGAAACGACGACGGGTCCTGCAGAGAACGTAGACAGAATTGGTGAAGCGTTTGTAGGTACGCTGCATTCGATTTACTAACCGTGTGCTTGCATGCTGGATCCCCTTATTTCAGATGGTGGGTTCTTAATTTTGTCCAAATGAGTTTCTTTGTCATATGAATGCCTACCTATCTTCTATAAACTTGCACAAGTTGCCTAAGCCATTTGTAGTTAATTTCGATAACATTTTCGTGAATTGATCTCGGATTCGTTTGTAGATAACTTATTTTATATGCCCATTAATTTAAGATTTATGTCGCCGTTCCCTCTGTATTACTCGATTTGTTTTATTTGTTGTCTTTCACACACGTGATTGGCTGTTGCATGATATCCCCAATGTGGCTGTGCTTGATGTGTACGCTGACAAGGTGCCTACCTGTCTATTATCCACTAACTCGCCGATACTGGCTCCAGGAGAAAGATGGTCGCTGCTGGAGGGGATGGGGTGCACGGTCCTTGTGGCCGTGTTAGGATCAAAGAGTGGTTCCATGCACTCAGTGTGAGGCGGACTACGGTCCAGCCACCGCCTTGTGTGCGCTTGATGCCCCAAATACAGCGTGATTGTGTTTGTCTGTGAAGGAGTGTGGGCCAGCCCCGTTGATGAAACGTGGCTCCCATCCACATGCCTCCCGGTCTTATTCCTTTGGGTTTCCACTGGATATGGGGTGTGTGGATGGAGCCGTGGGTGGTGCAGCGCAAGCCACCCAATGTCTTTCTGTAGGCGCAGGAGTCCTGTGGCTGGTGACAGTGACAGGCAAATCCGAAACCGGATGCCGCCAACCATATATATATATATATATATATATATATATATATATATATATATATATATGTATATATATGAAATGCAGAAAGCAGGCATCCGGGGTCCCACGAGGTAATACAACTGAAGCAACATAGCAGTAATTGAAAACCCAACATGAAACGATGATGAAACATAGCAGCCTACAATGGGACGTAATGATCTCTACGCGGCACGTAGACACCATATCGGGGCCACTTCCTCAACTGCCCTTAGTACATAGTCCGCCGACATGCATGAAATGTCTACTTGGTGGGGATAAGTGTTCTGACCAAGTTTGGTGGATGGAGCAGGTGCCTGGAGTGGTGTAGATATGTCTGATGGTAAGTGAATATTTTGATCAGTAGGAGTGCGATCTGATGGCGGTATAGATACCGAGTTGTGTGCAACTGCCTGTTTTCTTTAATAGACTATGTGGTATGATCCCAAACAAAAGCCATTGAGATCCTCTGTGTTCACTTTCCTAGCTGGCTGGTACAGTGATTGTGTAAGAAGAAGGATGTACGAAAAGGGAACCACAGAAGATAAACATTGTGGCAGACAAGAAAAACCGGAAACTCACTTGTCCTTCTCTGAGATATCTTCGCGTTCAGTTGCCGATACTTCTTCGCTAGTGGACAAGTGAAAAGAGGTATTCGTCGATGCGGGAATGTGCAGCACCCGTACAAAATCGGACCCGATCGCAGTGGACTTGCCCGGAGAACGGACAAATAGCAGATCTGTTGTAGAACTGAGTACTGGTCGCTCAGAAGTTACCATGGAGGAAAGTGGATGCAGTTCGAAAAATCCTACCAAACGGAAGTCCCTGATGGCATCAATCCGAGATGGTTTGGTATCAGAAGAGCGAGGGACGAGAGAGCATACCAAATGAATGACAACAGAATGCCAATCTCGAGCCGCTAGACAAAAAAGGTCAGGAAGTAGGAAGTGTCGCGTTGAAATCAGCGATTACCATTGCACTGGCGAGTGTAAAGCAACCGAGTAGGGAGAAATCGAGTCATGAAATCCAAACATAAGAACGCAAAAGTTTAATAGTCCCATAAATGAAAGCGTCGGTTATTATGAGAGGACAGAATAATGGAAACAGATTGGTGTAATAAACTTCTAATGTGTTCATCCCAGCAGCTCACAAGCTATTTAGTTCAGCTACACTCCGGAAAAGAACCAGACGCGTTTCCCCTTTTGGGGCTACGTTATGGACGTAGCGTCTAGTGTGAGGAAGCCACGGCCTGGAGGCTAGCCACTGTCGTTGCGAGGGTAGTAACCTGCATGGCAGTGGAATACAGGTCATGTTATATCCCAGCAGGCTTGCAAATTATATATCCCAGTTACCGTCCACCATGGCACAGTGGCTTAAACTGCTAGCTAGTTGGCGTCAGCCTCTAGCGGTCATGAGTTGGATCCCCAGTAGGGGACAGGGAATGAGAACTACTGACGAGCCCCAATAGGGCGGAACGCGTCTGGTGCTTTCCCGTATTGTGTGAGCTATGTAGCATGTAAACTGCTGGGATGAACACATTAGAAATTCCGACTAAAATCCTACTACTCACAAGTAGTACATTTCGCTTAACCTCCGGAAGTGGAGTAGTTTGGCCAGGGTCTGAAAATCTATGGCTAAATTATGAGCGTTTGCTGAAGAGCCTGAAAAATAAAAAAGATGCGCGACTGTAGTCAAGCAAGAAACATTGTCCACATCACTAAGACGTTATAGCACCATCGGAGCCCAGCGCACCAATGTGCCTCATGGTGAGGCTAAGTCAAGTCAAGTGAAGAATGCGCATTATGCATCCATGAAGAGTGAATATTCACCTACAACACACCCGCTAAGGACACAAATAAAATCAAATAAAAATACGACATATGTATATGGCGCGCCATCAGTTTAAAAATGTGGCAGTGGTGATAGCATCGATTCGGTCTGGCAATAAGGTCTCGTTTGACTACATCTTGATCCCACAAAAAACGTGACAAACAGGGGACAACCGACAGACCGTAAGCCTGTGTGTGGGCATAAATGGCTCTGTACGTTTGTCTGGTCGTAGAAGTTGAGATACATCCCGACAATCTACAATGGAGAGGGTGACTGGCCTCAGTATCTTGGACGTCAGTTTTTCGCACGAGCAAACATGATTGGACAGAATGTTGTTAATAAACACTAGCATAGAAATTCCGCTGCATTGAACATGTTTCAGCGTCCTGTTGATCGCGTTGAATTGCCGGTTAAAGAGTTCGGGAAATATCACAGGTGAGCAATACGCCCAGTGCGGTATTAAGCAAGCTGTGACAAACCGTAGAACTAAGTGACGAGGCACGGATGATGACCTAAGTCGGGAGACGTAGAATGCTAATCTCCTGAGTTTAGTGAATGTTTCATTCACGTGATGTGACAACGTGAGATTCCCGCTTAGTTTAACTCTGAGATATTTCACTACTGTACGGAAGTTTAGACTTACACTACAAATACTAAGATGCGGCGTGTGCGTCCAAGCTGTTGATAACAAGCGAGAAAGAAACATCTTTACACTGATGTGTTGAGTGAAAGACCGCCAGTTTTGGACCAGGAGGCAAGGTTGTCCAAGAAGCATTGCAGGTTGGCAGATGAATCTGTGGTGTGATTGTGTACACCACGGATCACGCCATCAGCATAGTTTAGTAGGATGTATTCTTTAGGAGCGGGAATGAAGTTAATGTAGGTGGAAATAGGAATGGGAACAAAATAGCTTTCTGAAGAACACTTGCATTTGTGCTAAGTCAATCTTGGTAAACTGCATACGATGGGCAGAATAGTCCATAAGAAGAGATACAAATGAAAGTTGTACTCTGGAAACTAGCAGATCGTGTAATAACAGCTCGCGGTTTACACAACCGAAAGTGTTGCTATAATCTAGGAAGCAGATCCGCGTGGGTTTGTTTTTTTTCTATCGAGTGATGAAGCACGGAGTGTACAAGACAGCGTAATGCATCCAAAGTAGACCTTGAACTGTGATAGGCGAACTGAAAAGGATCATTGGAGTAGGTTTGGACAAGCGTTCTGTCAAGTATGATTCGTTCTAATGTCTTAAGAGCCAGAGACGTACAAGCAATTGGCCGATACTTACAGGTTCCTTTTTCGGCACAGGTGTAATGCGGGCGCTTCTCCAGCAGTCGGCTATGTTGCGCTGATGTAGGCGCATAATGTAAAGTTCAGAAAAAGGCTGTGCTAAGACACTGGCACATTCCTTGAGGACAATAGGTCCATGCGCTTTAAACGACTGTATCCTAGTGAACTGTTACACTAGCGATGGGAGGTGAAGTTTGTGGGGAGTGTTGCAACGGTAAAGATGGCAAGTGCAATGAAAGAACGAGCTACAGCAGTTGATAGCTTAGCCGTATATTCCAGTATACACGGCCGCAGCGGAGATAGGGAAGTCAAAATGTTTACTGCAGAGTGAAGAGAACCATGGATTCTCTAAAGGTAGCAGATTTATCAATCTCTCATGACATTGTTTCTTTCATTTTACCGCCAGCCAATGCTTACAGCAAAAAGGATGAAGCACACTGGTCCGATGGAAAGGTCATAATCGGAGGTGCTAACGCTCGCTTCGCGCGGGAACAAGCACATTTGTTACTCAAAAGCCTTAGTCTGAAAACTAGCCAAGTCCCTAACCTGATGGCAGCACGTTCAGACAAAGTGACTGATGATCAAAGGGCAACAGTCAATGACTTAATTGCCAAAACGAACTACGTACCCGATTGGAGAGGGAGTTAGCGGAGGCGCGCCATCCGAAGCAGATTCTATAACGTGCGGGAACTTTCGTTAGAACTCCATAGATTTGAATGATGGCCTCAAGTGAGTACAAATGACGCGAAGGGCACCAGAATCCCCTAGATTTCCCGCTAGCAGTAAGGTAAAGCGTAATGATAGTACAACAAGTTAACGGGATATGTCTTATCCAGAAAGGCTTGCAAAGAATTCCTTAATTAACATGCCAAAAGGAAAGAAAGCAGAGAAAGTAGCAACATAAATTGAGCACGTCGAAAGGAGCGTCTCATGAACCCGAGAGTACACACTATTATTATTATTATTATTATTATTATTATTATTATAAGAGGAGTCCCGGTTGCTCGGATTATTCACACCATGGAAACATTGGTGCCAACTGTGAGACCGCGTACATCGTAATCGGAATATGAAAAACTTTCATCAGATAGGGATCGACGGGGAACCGGAGTCAGAGTGGCAGAATGAAATCTGTAGGAAGCCGGCGCCTGTAGTGATCCATCCAGTCTCACGAAACCGGTGCGTCGGAACGACTGTGAATGGTCAGTGCGACTCCCATCTGCATGCGATTACATGGAATCAGCAGTACATCGTTGCGTCGTACGGACACTTCGCTGCCACGCGACTACTAACAGTTGCGAGCTGACTAGGGGCACTACGACGTTGCCCGTACTTACACAGACTGGAACCCGGGACTGGGTTACTAAAGCAGACGCTATATCACTTCACCACAACCAAGCGCATGTGATAACATGGCAATGATAAGTAAAGAAGTCAATTGCCACATATCTCCCAAAAAGGTGTTACCGCAGATCAAAATTCGTGCGATCAATGTCACACGGGTAGCATGGTGTAAGTGCGCTAAGGAGCAATATCGAGTGACAAATTAAGGACATTCGTGGGACAGCTCACTAACCTCCATGAACATCATTTTCTAATGAGGATAACGAAATGTCAAAAAAATTTTGGCACCAGGTGGTTAGGTTTTGCAACCAAGGAAGTCGGATCATGTGAACTCCTGTGTCGTGAATTGCGTAGTAGGCGTTGAACGGATAAGATGAATTAGACTGACTGGTACCCCGCAGCCAACCGAACCCAGCAGATTCGGTGGCTGAGCTGAAACGTGACGGTTCCAAAGCCAAAGAAGGTGGAGTCTCATCAAAGGTATCGGAATGAAGAGTGGATGTGTTGGTCAAATCGTCGAGCTGCGACGTCTTCTTGTTCTGAGCGGACCTCAGTCCAAGGTCCACGCTATCCAATAAACACAAAACTGACCCCTCAAGGTGACCTGTTAACGGACAACATCAAGAAAATGAGGCGTATGTAAACAGCCGAACACAAAAAAACAGGTCTGCACCACGAAGCGTATAACTATGGCAAAAGCGCTGTTTGTATAGTGGATTCAAACCAAATACACAATAAATCAGTAAAAACGTTAGGTACTTTCTGCTCGTAACATTGCACTTTATGACCAGTTACGGATTCACTTGCGGTCTTCAGATAGAGGTGAGATAAATGTGGATATAGTCCGGCTGACACTCCTACTGCAACTCTAACGAGCTGTGGCAAGCTTGTCATAACGGTCAATGACATATAGTTGGTTCAGTTGTACTCGTTGTGCGAATGGATTCCGGTGTTCCAGGATTTTGCGAGTTTTGGCATGGAAAGCGTTCTCCCTATAAAAAGCCACAAATACCCATTAACAACACTATGACGTGGCGGATGTGACTCTCCAATAAACAAAGTCATTGCCCCTTGCCTCTGAGTGGCGGTATATTTCAAGGGTGTGTTGGACCCTTGGTCCTTTGCCGACCTAAAGGCGTAGGAACCACTTGTTTGGTCACCTGTTCCTAATGCATTGTGTGGCTCTCAAACCACCCTGACGCTTTGTAGGCTAGATCCCTTATCAAAAGCTCAAAGGGGGCCCCTAAGATAAATCCTCTACTTCGGCTTGGGCAACCGGGTAATATGATGCGCACTGGCGAATCATGGATAGATCATATTACTGCACCCGTTCTACTGGCTCATCTAACTCCATTGCTCAACTTACACTCATAGATCACCCCAAATCCCGTTTTCCAAATACAATTCGCCCTATATCCTCCCCAGTCACCGCCAACAACAACGCACAGGTCACACCTGACGGAAGCAAAAGTCAAAGTTTTCATGGTCAATGCCCGGCGATCACAAGCTTCTCACACTTCACTAAATCCCCAATTTTTCTTCAACCCGTTTCTCTATTCCACCTCGTAGCGTTTAATGTTCGTGTACCGAACGCAGATCGAGGGACAAGGTGAACCAATCAATCCTCAATCTGAGAGTGTGCGGTATTGGTGGATCCCTGGCACCAGTGGATCGCCGAGTTACTCATCGGACGAAAGTGAAGGGTAAAAGTTGATAGCCATCTGACCGACTGGTGTCCTTCGACCAGTGGCGTACTCCAAGGTGGGGTACTGGGTCTTACATTAGTAATTATTTATATCAACGGTTTACCTCAGCTTCTCCGATCGCCGTGTCTTGGTTGCAGACGACTTGAAGATGTGGAGAGTGATAAGCACCACCGACAACTGCGGTCTACTTCAGCAAAACCCTAACCGCCTTCTCATGTGGTCCGCTGAACTCCGACTCCCGGTCAACCCATCCAAGTCGGTATTCATGGGCAAAAGGTAGTGACGGCCAAACCCACACCCTTGACGGCCAACTGCTACATCATACACCTTCCGTGAAGGCTCTAGACATACTCTCAAGTTGCGAGTTGAAGTCTGTAGATAACATGAACCGTCTACATAGAAACGGATTGCGCATGCGCTGGGCTCTCAAACGCAGCTTCTATATCTGGTATGAGGAGGCTGCCAGTTGTCACTTCTTCCCCATCATCAGACCAATGCTAGAGTACGGCTCGCCCGCCTATCGTTCGATCACTCGATGCGAGGTGCAGAAAATTGTACGGGTCCAATACGTCGCTACCAAGCTCATCCCCAGTATGCGGACTTATCGTACGAGGACAGGTTCGAGGGTCTGGGACTATACAACATGGCTTATCGTCGGTTCCGAACTGACCTCATAATGGCCTACGACATCACACACCTAGTTGACTTCCTCATGCTGAGGTCACTGCTCCACTAGCGAACATCTTGCAGCATACGCAGACATCATTACAAGCTTGTGGTTCGAGATCTGAAGCGAGTTCCCCATCTCCTGTTCTTTGAACGGCGAGCAAGAAATGTCTGGAACAGTTTGCCGGAGCATATGGTGGAAGCAAACTCAGTGAAGCAGTTAAAACGTTGGATATGCATTTCTCAAATAGATTCCGAAAATGATTACCCACAGACATCGGGTCCATGTGAGTCCCAATTTACTATGAGTTAAACGTTTTGTACGATATGGCGTAAGAACGTGAAAAACAATCAGGATGTTGACAAGTCAGATACATTGCATTTTTAACGTTTTTGATCACACCTCGATGGAATGGTGCAGATACACGTTTCTACTTGCTGCCACAATACAGTATCCAGAACATTTAGAGGAGTAGCTCGGTAGATCTGCCTGCTGAGTCACCTGAACATACATGCACACTGATGACACACCATAAGCTGTAGAAAAGATTTAAAGAAAACTCGTCCTATTGCAGCGAAATAAGATAAGCGCACACATGGATAGGCGGCATCCGGTTCCGCATTTACCTGTCACTGTGGCCTCCATAGGACGCCTGCGCCTACAAAAGGACCATGGGTGGCTTGCGCTGCACCACCCACACCTCCATCCACAAACCCCATATCTAGTGTACACCCGAAGTTATAAGACCGGGAGGTATGCGGATGCGAGCCAGGTTTCATCAGCGGAGCCAGCCCACATTCGTTCACAGGCAAACACAAACACGCTGTATTTGGTTAATCAAGCTTACACAAGGCGGTGGCTGGACCGTAGTCTGCTCCACACACAACCCATGTGTATAGAACCACTTTTTGAGCCTAATACGGTCACAAGGACCATGCAACTCCTTCCCTCTAGCAACGATCAACAGTCTGCTGGAGCCGGTATAGATGAGGTGGTGGGTACTAGACAGGTAGGCACTCTGTCAAAATTCACATGAAGCGCAGCCACACCGCGGATTTCAATCAACAACCAATACCTGAAATGTAAGAAGTTCAACACGTAGGCACACGTACAGACCAACTGCAATGACCATGCGGCGCACGTACCACATCAGCCACTGTACTAGATTGTAAATCGAATGGATGCGGACGCAGCACTGATTATGCTTAGATACTCAGTTGGCTCGACATCTTTTATATGCTGGCTCCACGTGGACACGCTGGTGGCTCATCAAACCCGCTTGGCTCATGTACTCGAGACTACATGTGCTACAGCAACATGCGCTCGAAGTCAATGGCCTAGAATCCATCGGCGCCTGTTACTTCCACATCTGGCGTTTCTCCTCCGAGTGCAATAGTGCCTTCTACTGCAACTGGGCAACCGTCCGCTTGATCAGCCCAAGGTATTTGCATAGATTAACTCTTCCATTGATTCCCAACATCTGAAAGCAACATTGGTTGGTGATAAACTCACCTTGCTTATATCCTAGTAACGTAATTTCGGTTTGCCCGCGTGCTGTTTTCCTGCACCAAGTCGGCCGCACAAAGGCTGTATGAGTATGATCGTCGAATTCATTCGGCATACATAGATACATGGATTGGCGGCATCCGTAGCCAATAGCAGTTCATGCATACAGACATACACATACGAAGAGACCACGTATGGATCAGCCCTTGGGGTGCATGCGCATCATCCGATTGTTGGTAGCGTGTGAACTGAGAGACGTCTGATTACGGCCATGGCAAGAAGAGAAACTCAAACAAACGACCTCTGTTTACATAGTTTATGCTATGCTAACCAGACTGCATTAGTTTCGAAGACACCTGTAAGTTATTTTTTAAGCCATTTGGAGTACCGTTTTTGCACGGCGAAAACGACTCCGAAGGTGTCCCTGGTCATAACCTGGTGCCCAGTTTGGACAAGATGTTGAGTCAACTGACTATTACTGCAAAAATCGCTGATTAACGGCGAGCTGACGGCACCAATCTAAACGCATAGTCTGGGCTTTCAGAATAAAGGGCAGTGGGCAGAACAAATTGTACTGAATCAAACGTGGTTCTACATATATGATTATGCAGTAAAGTAGAAACGTATAACTTACGAGTAGGTGAACGGACTCCTTATTAAGCACCGACATAATTGCACGTGTTCAGCTTGAGCAGACTGCACTTATTCAATTACGTAATAAGTGGTGCGGTAAAACAGTGTCCAGATGCCTGAGGTATGCAGATCGTTGTCAGTAAATCAACAAAGGTCGTATAATAAAGACTAAGAGGAAGATCTAAAATAGGCAGGTTAGCAGTTACTTCATATTCTGAATAGCAATAGTGGTGGGTCATTCCATCATTGTGGTTGTGAAATATACTACTTCTAAGTAGATAGTAGCAAAGTTACACCAGTGCATCAGGAGTTCACGGTGAATTAGGAATTCCCACTGACCATGGGTATATTTCTTTTTGGTTCCCATGTTAGTTCTGTAACGATCCCGAGGTGAGGATAGCGTCTTTTATGACGAAGAAACATCTTATTTCTACGTTACATTTGATCAATCAAAGTGCTGCGCCTAAACGGCAGTGTACTGCTAATTTCGAAAGTTGACCTACTATTCCAGAAGCGGGGGATCATTGGACGAACTGTAAAGACAACCAAGGTCGAACACTGTTGTGCGGTGCTTGGGCGGCGTTCGGGTTGTCACCTTATTTTGTTAAAACAAGTTGATTTCTGGTTTTTCCCTTCGGCTGGGCTAGAAGACTTGCGGAGCACATGATAATGTTATTCCGCATGGCAAAAAATGGGAGGTCTAACACTATTCTATTTTACAATCTGCATGTGATGAGAGTAGTTGAAGAGACGTTTTTGATCAAACTTGGATCCCATCTATCAAATGCTATGCAGCACATGGTTGCTATAAGGGTACCTGTGGATCTAGAGACTAACGCTATCCTTTGCAAAGCTGGTAGCTTAGCTGTGGAACATGTGCCACAGCAGACTCGCAGTTACCTTATCTACCACTGTTACTCATGGTGAAAGCTTTTAAGATATAGCAAGAATGATGCCAGAAAAGGTGGTACAACACAATGTTGATGTGACTTCTTTCGGGCGCTGCAGATATGCTTTCGTACGGCTGTATATACTCCAGGTAAAGAACCACCGTATATTACCGAATATAAGTCGATGATTTTTGGACTATTT